CTCTCGCTACTTAAAAAATTTTTCTTGCCACTGCTCTGACAAAAGGTCCCTCCTTGCCATACAAATGTACAGGGATAGGCGGTGCGGACACATCGGCACCTTCCGCCAAAGAAAATACTATCGATTACGCTGTTACAGTGTACACTAGTATTTACGTGGTTATTGCCCAGCAGTGGCATTGAGCGGGAGAACGAACACGGTGTTATAACATACCCAGCACATCCAAGTCAAATACTTTCTCCGCTTCTCCAGCCAATGTTACTGGCCAATGCACGTATAAAGCCTGCTGTCCGTAACCTAGTAGAAACAAAGCTGCTATTCATTACACAGAGATGCCAACACATATATTGAAGCATCTGCAGTATCTCTGGCCATCAATTAATTTATGATCCACGCTAGTTAACCGAGTTTTGCCAAGCGTGGGTCCGGCATGGCCCGGAAAATATTTTGTGATTCTGAGATGCAATTTCCTGCCATTCTGAGGGTCAAAAATGACAATAAATGACAAAAATGACAATAGATTGACCAAATTCGTAAGTGGTTGATACAAATTCGTCGGTAGTGCTGTGCCAAAAAAGTATATTTTGAAAATTCGTATAAACTACGGATAAATCGTCAGTGGTTTGACATCTCTGCCTTACAGCAAATAACTCGTGCTCAAAATGCGCACAACTAACCTTGGAGTAATCATTCTGACATTGGAGTCAGAATGATTACTCCTAAGACTATCATAATGGCTTTGATTGGCCTGAGTAGAGAATTCAAGAAACTCGTAGGACGTCGGTAGTGCTGCGCTGCCCCATATTAAGATTGAGTTGTGTGGGAGTGATACGTAGACTACAGTGTCGCCATTTCAGAATTAATTTTAATGTTGAAATATGGCGTTCATTTGATTATAAAAATACGAGGGCGATCCTGAAGCCATACTGAACGTTATTACACTGAGCATGCATGAAGCATACCTGAAGCATACCTGAAGTACACCTGAACATACCTGCGCATACTTGAAGCATACCTGAGCATACCTGAAGCATACCTGAAGCATACCTAAACCTACCTGAAGCATACCTGAAGCGTACCTTGAGCGTACTGAAGCAATATACCTGCCACAGACTAAACCTACCTAAACCTACCTGAAGCATACCTGAGCATACCTGAAGCATACCTGAAGCGTACTTGAAGCATACCTGAGCATACCTAAAACATACCTGAAGCATACTGAAGCATACGAAAGAATACCTGAGCAGTGAGGATCTTCAGGTATTGACATGTTGACGAGCCGGACATGATGCGGCACCTCATAGTCCTGACCCATCTTCATCCACTGAATATCCGCGTCGGTATGCCCTTCACCTCACATTGCAGCGTGACGGCGTCCTCCACGGTCACCTCAAGGTCGTCGGTGATGTACGAACGCACGATCGTAGGTGGCACTGCCGTCGGTACACAAAGATGATGAAAGATGGAGGAGAATATTAAAAGACGCGTCCGATATATATAGAAAGGATGCGTTTTTTCGCTGATATGCACGTATTTTTACAATGATATATTAAAAGACTGATATACAGAAAGGATGCGTTTTTCGCTGATATGCACGTATTTTTACAATGATATATTAAAAGACCGATATATAGAAAGGATGCGTTTTTTCGCTGATGTGCACGTATTTTACAATGACATTTTATTTTTACAGTGATTTATTTTGACGATAATTATTGCTAGATACATATATGGCTGTGCATCCATCGCCAGTAGCCGGCAACATAAACTCATGTGACGTGGATCTAGAAACTAAAGTTGACATAAATAGGAAACGTAATCGACAACAAGCGATAACGATGATGACGAATCTACGTGGAAACTCCGTCGAAATCAACACCAGGTGGCGTTACTGTTGCTACGACGCCAATGATCCATTGTCCTGCATCTACGCAACCTTCCTATCTCACTACTGACATGACTCTTCTTAATTGTCTCATTTCAATGACACGTACACACGCACGCACGCACGCACGCACGCACGCACGCACGCCGCACGCACGACACACACACACACACACACACATATACATATATTCTACATCATAACTTACCTAGTACAGTGAAGAGTATATCGTGGCTGGCGTTGCCTGCGTGGTTGGAAGCCACGCACGTGTACATGCCGGAGTCTGCGGGCTGGGCATCCTCCAGCTCTATCGCTCCTGCTGCCAGCATCTTGAAGTTTGTAAGACCATCGTTGAGACTCCTTCCTGTATAAAAGAGAACATCGTTAGGCTGGTGGTACTAGCAGGCTAGCATGTATACGCACAGGGACAACAAGTTGACTGACGTACCTCAATACCGACATACGTGCTTTAAACGTACGCGTTTAAACAGCAGTATTAAATACTGCTGTTTAATACAAAATTACTTAATTCGTTGGAGTAACACCAAGAGGCTGGGTTCGGTGATAATTTAACCGAAAGATTAAATTTTTTTTAATTAAATTTTTTTTAATAGATGCTTTGCAAACCCATGCAGCCCCTCGTTGTTACTTCAGCGAATCTTTGCCGCTCTGTGGTAATTTAGGTTTACGATACAATTTAGGAGATGGTCACAGCTAGTGATGTCGTCACAGTGTAAGAAGGGAGACGTTTTAATAGATTGTCACCATTCAGTAAATTGTCGCAATTTGTTAGATTTGTTACAATTAATTTATTAGATTGTCACAATTTTGTAAATTGTCGCAATTCAGTACGTAGATCTGTTGCAATTTAGTTGATTGTCGTATCTTAGTATATTGTAACAGTTGTAGTAGATTGACAAAAATGCTCAGATCGACACAACATTCTGGGTTGTCGTCGTGCGGGAGCTATATACAGCAGCAGATGTGCGTCATGACGACGATGACAAGCGAACATGCATGGCGCTCACCGTGTCTGTACCAGCTGATGACGGGCGTCGGCACGCCGTACGCCGGACACGGAAGCGTCGCCTGCTGACCTTGAATGACCTGCATCTCCGTCGGCGTGCTAGGATCGATCCTTGGCGCATCTACGTGCAAACAGTACCACAGTTTGAGGCGCATGCACGTAACTTACATTTAACACTTAATCAGAACTAGACACTTATACTATACTAAGCCGAATAAATGTGTGATTTTTTTATTTACTTATTCATTTATTTTTTATTT